CGAATTCGCAATTCGAATTTTAATTTAGCAACACAAGTGTTTTGGGTATATAAACTACGCAGTAGCAACAACTCATAACCTAAATCTCTAAATCGCAACTCATTACATCTCATCTCTCACTCTCTCCGACGACATTCGTTCCTATATCCAACGACATCCTTCCCCATCCTAATTTTTTTTACATAATTTTATTTCTATATAATTTTTCAATGATTTCTCTCCCAAATTATCAACTATCAACTTAATAAAGGTATGTTTTTCTCTAAGTTAGTGATGATATCTAGTTTATAGCTCGTTTGTTTAGTAAATTAATTTACAATTTGTAGAATGAAATCATCTAATGTTGATCATGTTTGGATAGATTTGTGTTATGGAGGGTCATGGGAGAATGTTAATGGTGTTTTACAATATATGCCTTTACCCATGAATCTTCAACTAAAACTGTCATTAAAAAAGTTAACTTATGAAACTCTAATGTTACATGTTTCAAAGAAATTGAATTTAGAGCTTCTAAGTGGATTTAAGCTATCTTATCAGAGAAAAGGTAAAGTTTATTTGTTAACCGACAATGAAGATGTTGAACGATTCATTGCTTACATTAGTGTTTCGCAAGATGATGTTACATTGTATACTGTTGAACCTAGAAGTAGTGAAGTTGGGTCAGTAACGGGTAGTAATCAACTAAGTTATTAGCCCCAGTTTATGGTGCTCACAATGTACAACGTTGTTATCAACCTCAAAATTTCATGGTTCTACCACAATTTCATCACCAAGAAAATTTTGTTTCACCACATTTCCAATACCAAACACAATCTCAAAACCCACAACCTTTCCTTAATCCAAATCCCAATCAACTTTCAGCCCTAAATTCTGATTTTCGTATTGACCAGTTAGACGATGATGAGCCAATAGAAAAAATGTGAGTACTAGTCAGTATTCAAAATTTGATCTTGGTCAATACCCGGACTTTGATCTTGGTCAATACTCGGATTTTGATGATGTTTCAGAAGAAGAAATAGACCCTGCGTGTAATGATTTTGATATTGGCCAATACCTGAATTTTGATGATGAAACAACCGCTGCCGAGGAAGATGTTGTTGATGATAATGAAGAGGAAGTTACAGCTGTGAATGAACATGTTGAACATCCATTATGTAATTCATATAACCCTGAAGAAGAAAAAGAAGAATAAGAAGTCCCCGAAGAAAAGAAAAAGAAGAAAATACCACGGGAGTATAACTGGAATATGCCAGAATTACTTAGATACCGGAAGAAGGGTTGGTAAAGATAGCAGTTGATTGTTACACAAAAGTTATTCGTATCAAGAAAGATGATTGTTTTGATACGAAGGAATACTTGAAGATAGCTTTGTATACGAAATGTGTGGAAGATGGCTATCAACTAAAAGTTAACAAATCAAGCAAAAATCGTTTCGAAACAAAGTGTAGGATTGACAAAAATTGTACGTGGCATATGATTGCAAAGAGGATAAAGATTGCGAAATGTTTCAAGTTAGGACTTTTATTGATAAACATACATGTTCAAGAACCCAAGTTTTTCCTCACCATAGACAGGCAAACAAAAATGTGTTTGGTGGTTTTCTGGTGAGTTAATGTTTTTGAATGGCAGAGTATATCGGGGACATGAAATTATGACTGACATGAATGCTCGGTTCAAGATTAGTATCTCATATTCTCAAACTTGGAGAGCCAAATTTTATCCTTGGAATTGTTGAGGGGGTCGCCAGAAGCATCATTTGCCCAACTGCCGGCTTATTGCCACAATTTAAAGCTGAAAAATCATGGGTCGGTAACTCATATCAAAACAGATAGAGATTGACTTTTTGAGTTGTTGTTTATCACCATTGGTGTTGTGGTTAGTAAATCAATATAATTTTGTTGACTCATTTTTGTTAGTTACATGCATTTCACATTTAAATGATTTTATTTCTTGTGTATATTATTTTGTAGATTTGTTCGTTTATTATTTGCATGTGTCCAATTATTATAGTTGACGGAGCACATTTGAAAGGTCGACACCTTGGAGTAAACTTATTAGCAGTAGCCATGGATGCTAATAATGGGATACTACCAATAGCTTACGGGGTTGGCAAATCTGAAACCTTTAATTCATGGACATGCTTTATGGGACATCTTAGGGATTGCATAGGTCCTATTAGTAACCTGACAATCATATCTGATAGGGCAAACTCAATTGACAACACTATTAGAAGGTGTTTCCCATATGCTTTTCATGGATTTTGTGGTGTTCATTTGTACAGAAATATAAAATCAAGGTCTGCTGGTATAAAAAATCACAAATGGACATACTGGAATGCTGTAAAAGCTTATCGGGAAGTGAATTTTAATAAGCATATAAATTGTTTAAGACGTGTTTTGCCTCAATGTGCTCAAACACTAGAAGATGTCGGGTTTGAAAGATGGTCAAGAGTGCATCAACTTGGAGCAAGATATGGTTTCATGGCGTCTAATAGTGCAAAATCAATCAACGCTCTAAGTTTTCATTCCCGAAAATTACCCATTAGTATGTTAATGGAGTTTTTTCGAGCCTCTATTCAACAGTGGTACTACAAGAAAAGAAACCATGCATGTATTATTTCTTTAAATTCGCACCTTTTCATATTTAATAGATTTTACTAAGTATTATTTATTAAATTTACAGGAACATTGGAACGTCGTGTTACACCATGGACTGAAAAAAAGATAACGAAACGTGTTGTGAAGTCAACGTCATTGAGAGTTGAACTATGTTCAACACTTTGTTTGAAGTCTTGGATAATGACTTAAATGGGCTTGTCGATCTAAATGCAAAGACGTGTAGTTGTATGAAATGGCAAACATATGGTTATCCGTCTGGCCATGTTATAAAAGTTGCTCTTCATCTAAACCAAGATGATTCAAGCGCATATGCTATGGATTGCTATACTACAGAAGTATATTACAGACTTATGCCGAGACTACCCTATTCCACATCCTTCTGAGTGGGACATACCAGATGACTTACAAATAGTTTTGCCACCAGTCATGGACATAAGGCTACCTGACGACCAAAAAATCACAATCGTATGCCGTAGATGGGGTGGCTTTGAGAGATGGAGATGGAGGGGGGTCGTCGAATATGGGGACAGATGTCGATGCAGAGAGTTAGAGATGGAGATGGGATTGAGTTGCGATTTAGGGTTTTAGGTTATGAGTTACAATTTACGGGATATACTGTTTACATTTGTATTGTGAATTAATATTCGTGTTTCGAATTCGAAAATAAAATTCGTGTTGCGAAAATAAACGCGCTTTGCAAATTTGACTTCTGTGTTGCGAATTCCAAATTCGCGTTGCGAAAAAGAGATTCGAGTTGCGAATTTCAAAACTGAGTTGCGAATTTGGGAAATTTGCGTTGCGAAATTGGAGTTCGCGTTGCGAATTTGTTGGTTATTTTCGCAAATACAAAAAAAGTTGGTTAAAATCGTATATTATAAGGCATTTTCGGTCACTGAAGTTATTTTCTCTAATAATAAAAACACTTAAAGGAAAAGATAAATAATTCGATGTATCATATAGTAGTGAGTCTGCACGAACCCTAGTGATTTCAGTAGTACTAACATCAGTAATGCTAAGAATACGAGTGTTCAATTCCAAATGATTGAGAGTTGTATTTGAACATATACTTTGGAATTTGAAGAAGATGAAAATGATTGGGTAAATAATTTTATTGTTTTTATTGAATGAATATAGGGGTAAACTATATGATTAGTATCTAAATTATTAGTTTCTTTTGTTTTGGTGTCTATTTTTTCTCAAAATCATACTTATCATTTAGTTTATGTTTCAATTTGACACCTCGTTAAAATATTAACAAATTTGTTGACATGATTTTTAATTTTTTTAATATTGATGTGACATACTTTATAGTGACATGTCGACATTATCATTAAGCTTTTAAAATAAATTTGAGTATCAAAACAAAACAATAATAATAGTTTAAATACTAAACGTGCAGTTTATAAATAAATATATAATGAATTGGAATAAATGATGGATAGAAGTACGAAAGATAAACTCTAAACTGACACTGAAAAATAAGATAGTGAAGTTGAGGGGGAAAAGCCTTCTATAATAATGTTAAATTACTTGAACTAGAGATAATCCAAATAGAGTCCAGAAAGATTAATAAACAAAAATAACTGATGAGAAAAGAACACTTTTACAAAAGCTAGGCTTTAGTACTAAGCAACTTGATGATATTTTTACCAAGAAGGGCGTGAAATGATGTTCTAACGATTTTATAGAAAGATTGAAAATGGTAGGAAAAAAAATAATATGATAAATCTGCAATGGTTCAACTCAAATTCTCTTCATTCATTGTTTTAGCTTTTTCATCGCTAATATTTTTTCCATTTCACTTAATATCTTAGTCATAGATTCGAACAACTACATTTATATGATATATACACATAGCCAAGACTCTAAACAAATACTATCTTGCAAATACCATATTATTCATAAAAAAAAAGTTGATGCCTTTAGAGGACAATATATCCATTTAATATATAAGATACTTATTTCTTAGGATACTCGAACTAAAGATGGAACCATTTTTTTTATAAAAAAATAGAGATTTATATAAATTATTGTATTTTATTATATATTGTTATTTCAAATTACCACTCGGGAATGATCTCTACCAAGGTGCATGCTATTTGTAACACCTTTCGACTCATTCCTTGTACCATCTCAACCCTGTAATTGTATTACTCGAGCAAAAACACCCATACGTTTCTACTTTTTAGTGTGTAAAGAGTGGATCTAACCCGAGAATAAATAAATAAAATTACAGTTATGCAGATATAAATAACACAATCAATAAAATAAATAATTAACAGAAAAAAATTCGATATCGCCTTAGATAAACGTAGATCTGCCACTGTACCGGATATTATTTTTATGAACCAATTTCTAATGTTTTCCGAACTCCATAGATCGTGTGATATCGTGGATAGATCCTTGAATTTAGACAAGCTATGGAAATTCTGAGTTAAAAGTTCATGTATAAGCATTGAACAAGTCCTACTATATTGTCGTAAAGCAGAACAAAAAACAATGGCGAGGAACAATTCTTCGCATGAACTGGAGATGACCATCTTTAACTACTATTTCAGTAATGCTGCTCGGGGTATTCAAATTGTACCGACTCCTAGCATTCGATTTCTCAAAACAGTTTGACCATCTTGAGGAAACTCAGGAGAGTGGAAAATAGACCCAGAAATTTATCAACCTTTAATTGAGTTTTGAGGAAATACCTTCTGAAAGAATTCCAGGAACCTTTGCGAGTAAAATGTAGGGTCAACGGTGGATATGGATACGGAATCAAACTGAAGAGATTTATAGGCATGTTCAATCTTCTTACTCATGTTATATTCTTGCAAAATGTCGATCATGCCTAGGTACAGGACAACATCATATTCTTCATGGAACATGTTCTCTTCTTTCCCTGGAATCTGCTCAGCCCTTGCTGGCATGTTCACATCAAGCTGGATCTGGAGTCTGTTCAAAGAAGTGATAAAAGAATTTCTAAAAATCACAATTCACAAGCTACTCGGTGCATGTATTTTGTACATATTAAGATATCATACCTGGCTGTACCAGGAAGAAGGAGATCGACATCCTCATCACCTGCGGATCTAAGAGGTCGACCTCGTATGTGAGGACCGACAACAACACTGTCATCCGTTCCACGAGGAACCAAAACAAGTCCTTGTGGGTAGTTGGAAATTTCATCCTCTAGAAAAACATCAACACCAAATGACTTTTGTATCAATTCACTGTCCTTTAGGATGATTCAAAAGAAATTCAATCAGATAATTACGGCGTATACCGTATTCTATACCGTGGAGTATATCACTGACTAATGGAACCGCATACCATCTGATGTAGTTTGTTGTTTCAAGTGTGAAGTCTGTCTACTATTAATCTAACCTCTGCAATATGTTCCGCCTAACGCAATTTATTCTAATTCTATTTTGCCAATATGTCAATTATTTCCCCTATCCATACACACTGCAATCCTTAATCCAAATGTGAACAAACATTTGAATCTAGAATAAACTGCCAATAGAAGATCAAGTTTTCATAAATACCAACCTTCCTCTGCAACACTCCCTAATCCATCCACTCTGTTGTAGGAAATGGGAGACCTCAAATGTCGGGGTGCTCGATAATGCACTCCAAGCAAAAGGCTATAATCCATTATGTGTTGTGATTCCAAAAGTTTACTGTCAGTCTCTATTTGCCTGCAAAATATATATAAATGCAATAAAATCAAACTTTGGAAGGTATAAACCAATTATATAAGAATGATATTCAAGTAAGATAGGACAAGATAAAGCTTATATCATGAAAGCGGTCTAGTTATGTTCTTAAAATTGCCAAGTAAACCATATCTTCGCCAAGAAACAGAACAAATTATCTTTTACTAAAATAAAGATTCACAGAAATATTACTCTAATGAAATGTACAGTTCACACCACTAAGTGATGGACCAAGAATATGTCAGCTTAAAAATGTAGGATAATAGACGATAACAAAGAAGCTGCCAATTCACCAGTTACCTTAATAAAGCCTCTCGGCAAGAAGGTTCTAAGTAAAAGCAGTAGTTGAGATCCAAATCTTTAAGTGTTGTGTTCTCATCAATTTCAACATTGTCCGCAGAACGCCCTAGTGATGATCCTTTCAAGTCAAACCTTCTATGGATCCTTAACTCAGTGCAGAACATATTTCCCATTACTACAAAGCGAAACTGCAAAAAGGGTATGGTTTATGGTTGTTAGCTTCTAATGGTCAAAAGAGATTCCAAAATCTTGAAGGAACCTTTCATTACATACCATGAAATAAGATATGGAAAACAAAGTTCTTAGTCAAAGTACCTAAAAATATTTTATTGTATTCAGTGACACCACTTTATAAATTGTATGGATTGAGGTAAAAAGACCTCTGCATAGGAAAGAACTCTACTGCGCTTATTACCTTTTGACCGCTTGATGGTTTGATTATGTGAAAACCGAAGAATTTTGTTATGAGTGTGTTCTCATATGACCTCACATGACGATGATAGTTTGGAAGCATTCTTAGAAGAACCTATATGCAAGAATTCAGTCAATAAAACCTGCAATTATCAGAGGAAAAAAAGGAACAGAAGGATGACAGCAACAAAGATAGAATTATCTTGTATATACTTTATGGTATGGTATTATTATTTTTTAAAATTAAGGAGCTTGAAAAGTTTTAAAAAAATGCATACTTGACAAATATCTATAGCAAACCTGACATGTACAATTACAAGTTAACCAACCTGAGAGCAATTATCATATTTACTCAAGCTAGTGCAAAAGAAGTATAAATACACAAGGTAAAACTGGAGATCGCAAACCTTTACTTCAGATTTCCGGAGTGTCTTAATCATGAAACGATCATCTTGAGACAGAAAGAAGATACTACCACTTTTTCCAGGAGAAGAAAGTTCTCTGAGAGCATCATTTCCACAAATGGATATCATGTAGTCAGCAGCATCAATCTTGAACATCTCCCTTAAATTCCTACAATTAGTTCTATATATGTCAATATGGGAAATAAAATAGTAAAATAGCCATACAAAATAGTAAGAAAAACAAAAATAAAAGAACAAAAATATAGGTAATTATCGCCCTTCTGGAAGCATATTTATTCAATATTTCAAAAAGAATACTAGTGCATCACATGATGTCCACAGATGCATCTTGTATTAGGTATCAAAAGAATGAACTTGTAAAAGTGTAGATAGATGCAAAGAACTGCTGATGTAACATTGTAGTATGTTCAGCTTTTAAGTAATGGACAGATACCAGCTTTTGAGTGATGGACACATTTAAAAACGTCAAGGAAAAACCTAATACTAATAAATTTCTTCAAAGAGTTTGCCAGTGTACATGATATGCCTCTAATTTGGCAAGATAAACATCTCTCCAACATGTGTAATGGTTAACGAGACCAAAAGGCAAGTTTTCAACCTTCTTGTCTATCAAAACATCTTCCTTCTAGAAATGAAAGGAATTAAAATTTAAAACACTTTCCCCAAAGGACATAAATCTTAAATAGCAGATAGACAAAACCTCCAAACTGAACCATAGAACCTCATTGAAATCGAGGTATCTCTAACCTGAAAACCATTGGGCAGTAATCTTTCCACTTAAAATCTTCTGATTGATGGGGAGGTGTCAGTTGTGAACCCTCTTTAGGAAAATTCATCCAAAAGCTGGCGCTGGGGCCAAAATCTGATGTTCTTACTTCTCGTCTTTGTACAGGTGTAATTTTCCCCACAGTGTATCTGGCCAAATCTAACATATATTCAGCAGTAGATTTTTCAAAACAATGTCATTGCAAATTAAGGAAGACCATATATTGATTCTCCATGATTATAAAGTCAAGTATCTTTGTATGCATTCTTTACAAAAGATGCCATAAAATTTAAATTGCAATGAAGAAACATATTTAAGTAGTACTCAGAACAGGTTCACAAGCAAATATAAATGTTTAATCTATTGTCCAATGTAGGGCGGCCGTTTTATTTCTTAGTGTATGCTCATTTAGTCAATCACTTGAAACATCTCTTCCGGTTTTCTATTAATATCTACAACGAAATTAAATAACAATACCAGTTCAGTCCAGTCTAGAATGATAAACTCCATGGTAAACAAAAGCACCAATAAAATTTAGAATGACAAACAAATAAGAAAATTAAGAGCCATCATTGTCTGACTAAAGGTAAATAAGTGAAAAAGATAAAAGAACAGACCTGATTCCAAGCTGCAAACTGAGCATTAAATCATAACTCCTGTGGCCTTTACTAATCATTTCACCAGGCCTCTTAACCTCTTTGGCTAACATTTTTTGTCTCCGTTTAGCTCTTCTGGATGATGCTGAAAAACTATCATTTAACACAAACTCACTAATTAAGACACCTTGCATGTATTCACGTTCTAAGACTGGTGCATTGTTTCCACTCCCCTTTTCTTCTCCTTCAATAAAAGAATCAGTTAAATCTGAAGATGAATCATGTCCGATAACTTTTTCGATGGATACCTCTAGACTCCAGCGTCTTTCCAAGGAAACATTTCTGTTGCGAGACTGATCCAGATTTAATAAGTTTCCTTCAGCAAGCTTATCAGAATTACGATGAGATGGCCGATTGCCAGAAACCTTTACACACCCCATGTCTACAGAAGAAGCATGGTGGATATGTGAATGGTTATGCTTTCTCAAATCTGGTAACAATCCTCTTTTTCTCAGAGCATTGAGGTAAACCTCTTGTAAGGCAGGAAGTCGGCTGCCAATTGGATAAAATGATCCTTTTCCATCCTTCAAACCCCGTGTCCAAGTTCCTACATAGCAACCACCATCCCTCCAGTTATATACTCCAAATCCACGCATCATTCCTTTTAACCAGCTTCCTTCAAAGGAGTCTCCATTTGTCCAAGTGAGGGTTCCTTTGCCTGACATTTTACCACCTTTCATATTCCCTAGATAAATATTTCCATTGGCCCAAGTATATTTTCCAGGGCCTTCAGGTGTTCCCTGGATCCAAGAGCCCTCAAACACATCTCCATTAGGATAAACTTGATATCCCAAACCATGTTTGCGATTCAACTTCCATCTCCCCTTGTAAATTAATTTATTAGAGTCAATGTATGTCCCAGTACCATGGATATAACTACCTGAGAATTCACCATCATAAACAGTTCCAGAAGGCCATTGTATCTTGCCAGTCCCTTGCCTCATCCCACATCTCCACTCTCCCTCATACACACAACCACCTTGCCAAACATACTTTCCACGACCCTCTGGCACATTGCCGAGTAATGACCCAGAATAAAAGTCTCCATTCCAAGGCAAGAGTTCCCCAACTCTAAATCCAGCAGTTTCAGAACTATGGACAACTTCACCATTAGTTAGTATAGAACCGTTTTCTTTTTCGGCACTGGCATCAAGAGATTTTGTTCTTTCTGATCGAGGAAGTGCTCCTTCCACTATGTCAATAGTAACCTCAGGGCTAGACATGCATAAAGCCCCAGAAAGTCACAGTTTCTTACACGAAAAAAAAAATCAAGTCAATCACAAGGTTAACGTCGAAAAAGTAAAACACCATAAAGCAGATTCCTACAATTAGATTCTGAGAATAATACAATCACAAACTCTACTTCCTTTAATCTACAAATAGAATCACGAATCCATAGAATTCATCAGTAGCAGGACAACTTATTTCAACAATGTAAAAGGACTTCACATCGTAAAAGAAATAATGTAGAAGGTTTCTAAAGCACACAAAAATCCTACTTAATGGTGGCTTCCCGTAGTTATTTGAAAAAGCAAAAGAAACTGGAATGAGGGCTTGATTTAAGCATGGTTAAAGTACAATTCCTTGTACAATAATTAAAAGTTAACTTTAGTCCTATTAAAAATGAATTTTTTTAATACCTTTACTATACCTGAAAGTTTATGTTGGTTCCTTCTACCATAAAAAGGGACATTTTAGTCCTTGTACGCTTGAAAAGTGAATATTTTGGTCCAAAATTTTAAAGTTTTTAGCTAGTTGGCTTAAATATAGGTCTCTGTCAATTTTGAAATTAAGACAATTGATCACTCTTGAAAATATAGGAGAGTAATTTATTCAATATACATTTGAAAGTGAGTAAATAATAACGATTTATAATGGTGTTGATAGTTTCTGACAGCACATGACGCATATCCAATTGTGATTGGATAATTTTTTTAAAATAAAATAAAAAATTATAAATTTTTCACAATTTTGAAAATTTTTATGTTTTTTATATCATCTTTTTCAATTAAACTTTTAGTCTCACTCAAAATCTAAAAATTCTAAAAATATTTCGTGTACATTATTTTCAATTAAACCTTTTAAATTTTTTTATGTTTTGAATATTATTGTAAGTGAAGACAACAAAGTTTGGAGTTATAATAAGAATTAATTTTGCATTTAGATTTCATAAGTGTTTTAAAATATTATGTCACACACAAAATGTTGAGAGATAAATATGTTCCGAGTTTGAAATTGAGAGAGAACTAGAGAGTGTTTAAATCAAAATATTTAAGCAAACTAACAATAATTTTACCCTTTTAGACTAAACTGTTCCTTTTATAGTACATGAACTTCTAGTAGAATTTTACCATTGAAGCATCTAATGAGGACTCCGGATAATTTGCAAAAACAAAAGAAACTGAAATCGAGTGCTTGATTGAAGCATATGAAATTTCTTCATGGAAATTAAACTGCAAAATCATATCGATACATAATCAACACATAAATTCACGATTAACAATAAAATCAATTCAACCAAAAAAAACCCTTATAAAATCTTTAAATCTTAACTAATAAATCCTTACAAATTCAGTTACCAATCTTCCACCAAAATCTATCGCCAAACATACAGTAAAAATTCAGGAAAACAAAAGAAAGCAAAAATAATAAAACAAAACAAGAAAAATAAATAAATTAAAAAACCCACCGGTTTATTGTATAGTAGTTAATGAACTAAACTGAAACATTGAAGAATCATTAGCAATATCCATGTATGAATATGTATACTAGTGCTAAAAATATATATAATACGCACAAAAAGCGAGGAAAGCGGAGGAGAAGGGCTACCTTCAAAGAAGACGGAGAGAATCGAGGACGAAAGTAAAAGTCGTAGCCAAGTAAAGGGAGAGAACGAAGGAGAAGAAGCTTAGTCGCTGTTTTGAAGAGCTGGCAATCTAAAATGTTCTGCGTCTTTCTTTAGACTTCTGGAAAATAGAAATAAGGTTAATATACTATTAATGAAATGTAGTACTGAATATATTAATATTTTTTAATAATTTTAGTAAAATGTTATTTAAAATATTATTTTATCAAAAATATTAATATTGATGTTATTTAAAATATTTAATATTTTTTGTAAAGTGTTACTTAAATATTATTTTTTTAATAAAAATATTAATATTGAAAGTTATTTAAAATATTATTTTTTATCAAAAATTAATATTTTTGGTAAAAATAACTTTATGGGTGTATTTAAGATTGTTGTATAATAGAATTACTTAAATATAATTTCTTTTCTATGGTGACGATTTTTAGAGATTTATTGATTATTTGATGATTTATGAGAAACTCATGGAAAACACAATCTATTCTCAGAAGACGTAACTTGTGAGTATATTTATACAATTTGAGAAAATCATCAACTCTTCTATTCAACATTATAATAGATAAGAAAATAATTTTTCTAATACTTTATACTGTTTTTTTAAGTATTATTTTGAAAATTTTACTGTAAAGTATTTATAAATTGTCAAAATGAGGTGAGAAAAGATTGCTTTAAGATTAATTTTTATTATTATTTTGATTACAATAATCTATTTCTAGAAAATATTTATTTATTTAAATAAAATAATTATATATATTAACAATTTAAATTATTAATATTTAAAAAATATGAAAAGAAGTTTAAATTTTATGATCCAAATGATAAACTCACTCTTAAAATTAGACTAAAATTAAAATTTTTAACATATATTATCTTTATTCATTCTAGATTTATATAAAAAAAGTAATCTAAAAATTTGAGAACCTATTTAAACTTAATGATAAAAGGAAATATTATCTTTTAAAACATTTAAATTCAAGTAATAATATTTATAAAAATATATATATTATTAATAATTAAAAATTATGAACAAATACAATTATATTATAAATAAAAATCTGAAAATGTGAGGAGATGGTGAAGATTGGGTTGATAGCCGATTATTAAGACTAATGTGTCGTCTTACTTTTAAATATGATATCAATTATGTATGAACCAATTTACTCTGATAATTAAAGAAATTATTATTAATTTTAAAGGTTACAGTTTCAAACACCAATAATTACGGAGTAATTAAGTATTCATTGTTAAATGATTGAGAATATTATCAACAAATAATATTTTATAATCACCTTTGCTTAATAAAAACAATGATTGCAAGAATGATTGAGTGTATATTGTCAAATGATTAAGAATACTTTGAACAAATAATATTTTATAATCACTGTTAGCTTAATAAAAACAATGATTACAAGAATAATTAAATGTTCATTATTAAATAGTTGAGAATACTTTAAACAAATAATATTTTATAATCATCTTTAACTTAAAAAAAATGATATCAATTCTCATTCATTTATGGTAACCATTTTACACACAATATTTAGGTTGGAGTTTCAAAATTAAATGATTTATGCATAATTACCCTTTCTTTTTTTAACTTAAGTTCTCTCAAAATTTTTGTGTTACATTTTTCTTTCTTTCTTTTATTTAATATACAATAATATTAATTTTAATGTTAGTTGTTGAGCGCGATGATTATTAATTTTTTTATATTATATCTATTTGTTTAGTTTTCTTCAATTTTGAATAACAATCTATGTATTTGTGACACATTTTTCTCTACTCTTATGGCATGCATTTTCTCTGCTATTGTGACACGCTTTTTCTCTGCTATTGTGACACGCTTTTTCTCTGTTGTATGATCCTTATGGCTTTTGTCTTTTGGTATGATTTTCGCATACCTTTGTGGTTGTTTTGGTGCCCGCAAAAAGACACTTAAGACATTTATTTTCTGATTGATTTTTCAATGATCACGTATAGTTAGGTCACCTCTTTGGTAAAAAGGTTGTTTGCGGATATAATCGAAACTATGTAGCAAAGCAACCTATCGATAGTTTGGTTCGCTTACCACTCCTTTATCATTTCACAAAGCATCTCGTTCGATAGAAATAATGAGTTTTTATGAAGGTTATTGAGTTCTTTTGATGTCTGTTGTTATTCTCAAAGGAATATTTCATTAATTTTATTAACGAAATCCAGTTGTTTTTGATAATTTTCTCCAAGTGAATATCATATTTTCTATTATTATTCTTAATCATTTATTTTTATTCATCTAATATCCTAAATCAATGTATTTTTTTATTTTATAGCATATAATTAGATCTAAATATATATATATATATATATATATATATATATATAGACTCGTTGAATCACGTAAGGAATAGATGGGCGGCAATGGTTTGGCAAATACATGTTGGAGAAAGGAAAAAATAATGAGGATATAATTGTCTGAACAGCAAGTTTTGGACTTCGACTACGTCGCATGGAGAGGATGTTCCATTTGTTCACCCTTCATTAACTTTTAATTAAAAAGCGGTACACCTGGATTATACTTATGCCGGCACTACGTTCATTTAATTTAATTAACAGTTGTGTTTATCTCTTTTGATAGAACAATAACATTCAGCCTTAATTAGAAACGGTTAAATCTTCATGCAATGTTGCCAGAATTTTCGTCGGGGATCCACAAACTCAACTCCTTCAACGAGTGCTCCACGATTCAAAGCTGCCAATCTCTGTAGCAACATTTTGGTTTCGACAAACGTGTAAAAATTTTAACTTCTAATCACGATCTCGAATATCTGGTATAGCAGCCACCAAAGCATTATTGGTTAGGATCATGGAACAAAACATAACAATAGATACGATTATAAAAAAAAATATTTGATTGACCAAAATAGGACTGTCAGAATCGTCTTTCGGTGAGTTCGGAATTGGACTTCGACTTAGAAAATTATAGATTCGGAGTCGTCACCGATCATTTACTTTATTAAAAATGGGTTGATCGAATACCCTATTTCTTACCTGATATGCGTCTTACCAGTGATATATCGGATTCGGGAGTCGGTTACAATCAAATAAGGGTTAGCACACTTGAACTGCCCTTTCGGTACTATGTAATTTCCAATTGTCATTAAGTAAGAAAATTGTAAGTTTAACTTAAAAAGTAAAATAATGATTCAAAATTACTTACCTTAGATTGATTTGAAAACATCCTTAAAATGTCAAAAGATGTTAGACTTATAGTGAAATACAAGATCGAATTAGGAGAAAAAACATGTAAATATGAGAACAGACAAAACAGAAAAGAAAACAATAACGTATGCAGACATAAAAAATAAAAAGAATAAATAAAAGAGAAAATAACCTCAGTGACCAAAAATCCCATATAATATACGATTTTAACCAACTTTTTCCGGATTTGCCAAAATGACCAACAAAATCGCAATGCGATCGCTAATTCGCAACGCGATCTCCATTATCGCAAATTCGCGTTTCATTTTCGCAATGCGATAGTTGAAAATCGCGTTGCGATGGTCTACAGTATCGTTGCGATTTTCCCAATTCGCAATACG